AGTCGATCTGCCGCCGGTGACCAGGTTGCTGAACAGCGCCTGTGCCAGATTCTGACGGGTCGCGCGTGTGCTGCTTTCAGGGCCGTCGTCGTCATCGTCGTCGTCCTTGTCCGACTCTTCCCAGTCGTCGTCATCGTGCTTGGGCGCTACGTGGATCGAGCGAGAGGCAGAAGCCGAAGCGACATTGCCAGTGGGCTGCGCCGAGACGGGCGGAGTGGCGCGCGTCGCCGTTGGCAGTTCCGATGACCCGGGCGACTTGGCCGCCTCCTGCTGCTGACGGAAGAAGGGATTGGTGCCGCCAGATGTGGCTGGCGAAGGCGCAGTAGCTGCCGCAGTGCCACCCTGCTGAATGCGATGGAACGGATTGGTGCTCGAAGCCGAACCCGGGCTGGGCTGCGGAGGAGCTGCGGGGGCCGGATGGGCCATGGTCGCGGACGACGCCGAGGGTGGTGCCGGCGGAGCAGTGGGAGCCTCGGAACTGGCGGCGTGCGACTTTCGAGAAGGTGGTGGCGGTGGGGCACCGCCCTTGGCCTTACGGGACGGAGGCGGTGCTGGGGCAGCTGGCTTCGCCTTGCCGGCGAACATGCTCTGCCTTTCCTTGAACGCGGCCTCCTGCTGTCTGGCTTCCTCCTCCTGCTCTTCGATGCGGCGCAGACGCGCCTCACGCTCGGCCCTCTCCTTGGCTAGAATCTCTTCACGCCTTCGCAGCATCTCTTCCTGGTCGTCGATCTCTTCCTTAGCCGCCTGGATCACCGGACCGGGAGGAGGGTTGTTACTCTTGGCCGACTCGTCGATCTCGGCCTTGACTGTCTGCAGGCTGGCCTTCTCGTTCTGCAGACGGTGTTCCTCGAGTCGAGCCTTTCGCGCTTCTTCGCGCGCCGCCGCCTCGCGATCGGCCTGTGCGCTTCGTGCCTCGGCTTCGGCCTTCTCCGCCTTGAGCCGCTCCTCGACGCTAGTGTCGACTGCGGCGGGGCCAGAGGGGGCGACCGCGCCCAGCATGCGCATGCGCTCCTGCACCCGGCGCTGCGCTTCGGCGCGGATCCAAGCGGCACGCTCTTCGGGTGTCATGTTCTTGGGCGGGGCGCCCGCCGATGGAGCGGCGGAGGATGGCGACGCTGCCGCGGGTGGTGCCGGAGGCGGTGGAGCTGGGGCCGTGGCTCCCTTGGAGGACGCGGGAGGAGGCGGCGGTGGCGGCGCATCTGCCCGGCCGCTGCTGTGCCGGTCTCGGTCATCTTCGCCTCTTCGGCCGCCGTAGTCGGTCCGGAAGTCGTGGCTGTCGTCGCGCCTGTCGTCGCGCCTGTCATAGCGTTCGCGAGACCGATCCCGGGATCGATCGCGGCCATAGTCGCTTCGCCGAGAGGAGTCCTCGTCGCGGTCACGGTCAAAGGTGCCGCGCAAGTACTCGCCGTCGCCGAGGCGGCCACCGCGATCTTCGCGATCATATCCACGATCGTTGTCACGATCTCGGTCGTCGCGGTCGTAACGGCGGTATGGGTCGTTGCGACGGTCGCGGTCCCGGCTTTGATCAAGCTTGCGGTCGCGCTCACGACGCTCGCTCGCCTCGATCCGCTTCTCGAGTTGAGGTAGACGTTCATGCATCAGATGGATCAGCTCCCGCTCGGCCTTGCGCTTGAGGTCGGCCGAGTCGCGTCCGCCGCGCCGGTTGTAGTACTCGATATCATCCTGAACACGGCGGATGCGGTAGCGCAGGTCGTCCATCTCGCGCTTGAGCTCGCGATCCTCGTCATCCTCGTGGTTCTGCTTCTCCAGCATCTTTTGGGTGTTCTCCAGCTGACGCTTCATCTCGCTCAGATCGTCGGTCGCGCTCTGGCCCTCGTAGCGGACTGCCTTGCGGTCGAGGTGGCGGCTGCTGCTCTTGTACCCGGCAGACTCGGACTCTTCGTGCCGGTAGGCGCGGGCATCCTGCTTGGGCGCGACGGGGTTCTCGTGGAACGAGCGCGCCTTTGTGTACGAAGCGCCGCTGTTGGAGCCGGCCTCGGGGATGTTGAGGCCGGTGCTGTTGCGGACGTTGGTGTCCTTCTTCAGCAGGTCCTTGAGGAAATCGACCGAGTCGTTCAGGTCGCGCGCAGAGGGAGGAACGAGCTCGGCCGGGAGCTGGTCGGGGATGTCGTTGCCATTGAGTGCTGCGCAAGTCCGGCAAGACGGGTGGGTAGGATGACGGAGGTCGCATTCGAGGCACAGCCCTTGGTCAGCATGCGGCGAGCGCTACTACGGTCGAGGAGGCCCTCGCAGCCGCAGCCTTTTTTTGCTGCAAGTACTCACCTCGGTAGATGAGGCCCATGGCGACGTGGAACTCGTTGACATTCAGCTTGCCCCGGTTCTCGGTGTCGGCGAGGTGCCAGATCTGCATGAGCTGCTCGCGCGGGATGCCGCTCTGGCCAAAGACCTCGCGGGCCACGTCGCCGCTGATGAAGCCGGAGCCATTCGAGTCCCATGCGCGGAAGATGGAGTCGTAGCTCTTCTTCTCCTCCTTGCTGAGCGCCCATGGGATCTTTGGCTCCTTGGATCCCTGCTGCTGCTGGCTGAGGTTCTGGATCTGCGACTGGAAGTTGGATGGCTGCATGCTCGCCTGGCTGAAGTTCATGTTGCCGGCGACGGCGGCGCCCGAAAAGGGCTGCGAGGCCGGAAGGAACTGGGCGCTCATCAGCTGCATGCGCGGATCGCGGATCGGCATGCCCGTCATCTGAGGCATCAGGCCAGTCTGCTGCGGCTGCATCATGCCGAGGCCCCCGGGCCCACCACCCATGTAGCCTGTGGCTTGCGACTGGAGGCCGCCACCGCCGCCGCCGAGGAAGCCGGTGGGCTGCGGTTGGACACCGCCTCCGGCGGCCAGTCCGCCACCGGCGGGACCGGGCGAGAGGAAGCGCTGGGGTTGCTGACCAGGGCCTGGCGAGAGAAAGCGCTGCTGGGAGAGGCCAGGTCCTCCGAGGTTTGAGCCCATCCCCATGCCGCTCATGCCTGTAGGCTGAGCAGAGAGGAACGACGTCTGGCCGAGCTGTTGCTGTTGCGGCAGCTGCTGCTGGCCTGGGAAACCGGTGGCCATGGGCCGCTGGAACTGCGACATGCCTGGATAGCCCGTCATCTGGGGCTGCATGAAGCCGGTCTGTTGGGGCTGTTGCTGCTGCGGCTGCTGCTGCTGCGGAAAGCCCGTCATCTGAGGCTGCTGGAAGCCGCCTTGCTGAGGACGGCCCCATCCCTGCATGTTGTTGTTGTTGTACATGTTGGACGCCGCGCCGCGGTGTCCTCAGTGGCCCGTTCTGGTCGGCCCGAGACTGGCGACGGATGAATGCGGACGGAGGAATGCTTGCCAGCTGCACAGCGTGTGAGTGAACAGTCGGGGGAAGACCGAGTGAGAGGTGCTCACGTTCGATGGCGCGGCTGCGACACCAAGCCGAAGCGGAGAGGGCGGGTACGAAGGAGAGCGCGAGGTTCGGGGTGTGAGGATGTGGATCGTATGAGGGCTCAGGGAGTGGGCGTTTGGGTGATGGATGGAAAGGCGAGGACCGACGGAAGGAGACGGGAAGGGCAGGGGAGGGGAGGGGACGGGACAGGCAGGAAGGACCGACGGCGACGTCGAGGGTCGCCCGCCCACGCCGCTGCCCCTCTCGCTGCGCACACGCACGGGGAACAGGCCAGGCGCCAGGCCGGGCGAGGACCGCCGATGCTTGCCTGCTCGCTGGCTGGCCTGCTTGCCCGAGGGTGGGGCCGCCAGCCAGATCGTGCGTCGGTGCGTGGCTCTGCCACCTGGGCTGGCCAGCTGGCCTGGCCCAAGAGCCTGGAGGCATGCACGGTTCGTCCAGCAAATACATCAGCAGCTAGGCGGCAGTCGGCCTGGCCTGGCCTCGCCTGGCCTCCCCCTGGCTGGTCGCCCCTTGGTTGCTTGCGTCGACGTGCAGCACGGCCAGGCCAGGCCGGGCCAGCAATAATAGGAGGTCTGGCCTGCCTGCCAGCTGCCGCCTTGTGCCTGTATAGCTGTGATCGCCGCCTACCACATCGCTCGGATCTCCGATTCCCGCGTCTCGGCCGCTGCTGGACAGCACAGCCACGCCGGGCCCGGCCCACGGACGCATGGACCCTACCTTCAACCGGCCAGGCATCTCCTCTCCAAATCGGGACCGACGGCAGCGCGACGATGCATATGCATGTGCTCAGCGGTGACCCTTGCTCTCTGTCGCTGCGAGTCGTAAGCTGGCTCTTCAGGCGCCCGCGTGCCGAGCAGCCTCGAGCAACAGCCGTACATGCTCACAGACGAAGCTGGACGGCGGAGACGTGATTATTTCAGAGTACAGAAGAGGGGCGGCGCCCCGCGAGCACAAGAAGCGCGGTGCACGGGGTGATCGGACGGCAGGCAAAAAGAGTACAGGAATGTCAAGAAGTACAGGCGGGCGAGAGAGGGACTACGAGAGTAAGGGCAAGCATAGCGGCCACGGCCATGGAAAGGAGCGGGGCGAGGTGACCGGCGCGCATGACAGCCAGGCATTGGGTCCGGGCGCCAGACTCTGGCGTGCTCGGATATGACCCAGCGAGAGGACGGATTGGGCTGCTTTGATCCGGCTGGCGAAGGGCTGGGCCGGAGACGAGGTTGAGGCCACGGCGCCCAAGGCTGTCCTGCTTTGCCAGAGGGAGTACAGGTGCTCGAGCCGGTCAGCGGTTGGATGATTGGGGTGGCGGCACCAGGCTGGCTGAGCATGACGGCGAATCACGAATGCGGAGAAGATGGCATCGCGCAAGTCAATGGAAGGCAGGACAAGTCTGATCGCTGCCAGCGCGGTCAGCCATCTTCGACCTTGGGGTATGCCAGACGCGACGCGTCCCTTTCCCCCCTCCTGATAGGGCAGCGCGCAGCCTGCTGGCGTCACTAGCCTGACTTCCTGAGCGGGGCACGCGATGCCCGATGTAAGGACGCGGATCTCACGACGCGCCAGGCACCCAAGCGCCGCCGCGTTCAGGGCCGGTGGCGATCAAACATGGCAGCAGCACGGCCATCCTTGCCCTGGTCGGCATGGCGCTCTGGGCCATGTCGAGTAGATGTCGACATCGTTCGAGTCACGGAGCTCCAGCCGGTTGGGAGCGACGGTACTCACGCCAGGCACTCTGGAGCGGATGCAGGTGGTGCCAGGAGAAGCGGACGCGTTAGGCCGAGGCCTTGTTCTTTGGGTTCTCCTTGGACGTTGCCCAGGCATGAGCGGCCTGCTTGAAGCGCTCCTTGTGCTCCATGTTGGGTTTCTCGGTCTTGAGCTTGGCCAGCGTCTCCTTCATGTGTCGGTGGTAGGCAGTCGACTTCTTCTTGCCACCGCCGGTCGACTTCTTCGGAGGCATGGTGGAGGTTGTGTGTGGGTGAGAGATAGAGAGAGAGAGAGAGAGTAGTGTGTGTGTGTGTGTGTTGGACACGGAAGGTTTCGCAGGGCAAGCACCGAAGATGTCGATGCGATGAGATGATGCTTGGGGGCGGATGGATGGAGTAGGAGGGAGAGGAGGAAAGGGGCGTGGGGACGTGTCTTTTGAGGGGGGTCGCGTCGCCTGCTTCAAGGAGGTGAGGCAGGCCACAGCCGGTAGGCGGGCAGGCCAGGAGGTAACTAGGCAGAGCCAGGCCGGGTCGGCTGGGGACCCTGCAGGCCAGAAAGCGAGACGGACAGCAGCAGCTTCGACGCGCTCTATCTACCTCTCTGTTGCCAGCCTGCCTGCCTGGACGCCCGGCGGGACACCTGCTGGCCTGGTGTACGTGTGGCCTTGCCCGCCTTGCCTCCATCTGCCCTCCCGGCCAGGCTACCGTGGCCAGTAATTTGACCCGTCGCCCGCTCAGGCCAGGCCAGCCAGGCCTCCCGCTTGGCCGTGGCGCGTCAGGCAGGCTAAGCAGGCAAAGCGACCCTGCCTGCCTCCGCCCGCATTCTCAAATGACAGGCGAGCCTCCTCTGAGGCAAACGCGTGGTCTGTCCATCATGTCTGCGGGCGCGGCCGCGAACAAGCTCGCTCGGCCCTCCTCTCGCCTCGGTTGGTTGCTCCTGCCTGCCTGGCCTGCCCGGCTGTCTGCCCGCCCGCCTGTCCGCCCGAGCGCCGCCGCTGGCTTTCCGTCCACTCGCACCGTCCGGTGGTGCGTTGGATCAGACGGCTCTTAACCCTCCTCAGCCTGCACGCCGAAAAAGGGAAATACAACGCGACGGCCTCGGCCATGCCCGCGAATACGAAAGGCTCTTTGCAGACATGAGTTTCTAATCTCTAGGGCGTGTCGCGTGCCCCTCTTCTTGGCTTGCTTGCTTGCTTGCTGCTTCGCCCATGCCATCGCTCGTCTGTTGACGACACCACCCTACGCTGGTCGTCCACGCCGTCCTCGTCGACCTGGCCTGTGCCTGGCTCTTCGACGGCGATGCCTTCTGCGCGCGAGCGAGGGTAGGGCAGGCCCCGTCGGCGAGGCCGAGCGGCGAGTACGTGAGCTTCTACCCAGCACGTCCAGCAGGTCGAACACTGACCGCTTCAAGACTGGGCCGAGCCTGAATGGACCGAGGTGAGCCCCTTTGCAGCTTGTACGGCACTCGAGACGAAGCCCGCGACGCCCCCAGCCTCTAGAGAGTAGTAGTGTAAGTTAGTAGGTCGGTCGGTCGTGGGAACGCGGCGTGACATTGTATTATCGCCGCAGTGGGCGAAAGGCCGAAGAAGCGACCACAATCTTCGTGTGCCAGTTCCGCCGCCTCCGTCGGGTTCTCTCCGGGATACACGCGACGACGACACGCGGGCACAGCGAAGATGGACGTCCTTAGACACATGCGGCGACGGCCACCACGACGATGTACTTGTATGATGCATGGCAAGCTGCGTACCTCGTGCGTGATTACGATTGGCGCACCCCGCACTTTTTTTTTTTTTTTCGACGAGCAGCCGCTCGTCTCGCCTACCTCGCCCTGCAGCGGTCAAGGGAAGGCAGGGCCGAGAGCGCAGCCAGCCAGCCACCCACACGTACCGAAGCAGAAATCGGCCAGGTCAGGAAAACGCCGGCGAAAAAAGCGGGCGAAAATCCGATTGGATCCACGGCGCCTGCCTGCCTGCCAGCCTGCCCATCTGACGCCCCGGACGAGCCCGGGTTGCGTTGCGCTTCGTTTGGGCAGCACCTCTCGTTACATTCTGCGCTGCGCGACGGCGTGCTCTGTGCCGTTTTGAAAACCTTTTCGGGAGCCCCTGCGAGGACCGCGCGGCCGACCTGGCTCTTGGAGCCGTTGCGTCTATCTCTTTGTGACGCCTGCGGCGGCCCGGGAAAGATCGACGCCGAGTTTGGCAGCGGTCGGCCAGACACGTACTCTGTTCACGCACGCACGCCTACACGCACGCACGCCTGCCTACTACCGACGCTCCGCGGCAGTCGGGATCCGGCCTGGTGGGCAGGAGAAGGGAGAGCGAGCGGAGCGTCGCAGCACAGCGAGCTCTTTCTTTCTTGCTTGCTTTTTCTTTTTCTCGTCTTCGCCTCAGCTGCGGGCTGGGTGGAGCGAGGGCCCGCTCACTCGCTCGCTGGTCGGAGCGAGGCCGCCGACGTGTGCCCCCGCACCCCCACGTTGGCAGCACCGCCCAACCAAGGCCAACCGAGGCTCAAGCTGAGGCTCAGTCAAAAAGACCCACATCACCATCACCACGCACGTTGCAGCCCTGCGCCCCCATCCACCACGCGGCCTTCGTCTTTCTCTCTATCTCTCTCTCTCTCTTGCTTCGAAAATCAAGGCACCCGCCATCACCACCGCCACCGCCACCACCATTACTGCGTCCGGCCAGCAAGCCTGCCGTCTGACCTTCGCAACAGCTATCCGCGCGCCGACAGGCCAGCATCGTCTCTCCTTGCCCTTTCCCCCTCCCTCTACCCCGGACGCGCCCCCCCCCCCCCCCCCCCCCTTGTCCCCGATCTCACAGCGACCGCGGGCCGCCCTCGAATTGCGTCCGCCGATCTCGCAACTCCCGCCCCGCCCTCTCGCCAACCCCTCACGTCGGCCCTGCTCTAGCCAGGGTTGGCATGGACACGCAACGTCCCCCTCCGCCCCTGCGCATCCCGTCGTCGTCCGAAGACAACCTGCCGCTCTTTGATCCTAGCGGCCTCAGCGCATCGCTCTCTGCAGACGACTGGCACTCCTCGTTTGACCTGTCCAGCGTAGCCGCAGCCCGCCTAGGCATCGCCTCCCCCTCGAGCAGGGATGCGTCCCCTTCCGCCTCATGGATCCAGTCGCCGCCCCGCCAAGGCAGTCTAAACCATGCCTCTTCCCCCAGCCTGGCCCCGGCAACGGGCAGTGCATCCGTCGATTCTGGCTCAGGCGACCGGCAAGGGAGGCTGTCAACATCGCACACCGCCGACGCCTCACCACTTGGCGGTGTACGCTTGTCCCGCCCAGAGTCTCAACCCGCAAGCGTCACGTCCAAAGTGCGGATGTGGTGGCAGCGGGGCGCGCCTTCCTCGGAAGACGAGGGAGATGCCACCGATCCACCTCCGCCTGCCGATCCGGGCCCTGCCTCGCAGTCGCCGCTCGGGGCTAGCTCCGTTGAGACTGTCAACGCCAGCGGTCTCGGGCTTAAAGCGCACAGCAGCACGGAACAGGACGGAGAAAGGTCGACGGCGGCACCAGCAGCGGCGGCGCTTCCTTCACGTCAACCAACAGGTCCCACCCTGGCAACGTGCGACCTCTTTCGGCCGCCTCTACCGTCGCCATCGCAGTCGCCAGGCTCGGTCGGACGCACAACTAGCCCAGGCACCTCGCCCTCGCCCAAGGTCAGGTCGCCAGCCGCCGATTTCCTCAGCAACTTCTCCAGCCTGCACAGCGTCGCCAGCCCTTCCAGCTCGGCAGGTGCCGGGTCCCTTCTCGGCGGCATCACGCCGCAGCCTGGTCAAAATGCGCAGTCGCCAGAGCCCTACGGTAAAGCTCTCGTTGCCTCGCCCACCGACCTCGGCCGCAGCCGCAGCAGTGGCGGCGGCAATGGACTTTGGTCGGGTCTAGGTGATGCGGCTGCGAAGCTCTACGACGGCGGCAGCGTTGGGACGGCTGGTGGCGAGTCTGCGACCATAACTCCCCGTCCCGACGAGCAAGGCGCTCGCTTCGGCCCCGGAGGCCGCTACGTCATGGGCAGGACGATTGGCTTCGGCGGCTTCTCGACAGTCCGTGAGGGCTTCGACATCGAGGGCCTTTCGCGGGACGAGGCAAAGGAGGCTCGCCGCATCGCCGTCAAGATTGTCTACCAGACTCAGGAGAGCGATGAGGTGGTCCACGGCGCCGCCAAGCGGCACTCTCAGTGGTCTCACGAGCTCGATATCTGGCGGAGTCTGCCGGCCCACCCTCACCTGCTCCCCTTGCTTCACTCCGAGGTTGTTTCACTGCCCAGGGGCGGAGGATCACACATGTCGGGCGCCGCCAGCAGCGCAGAACTGCTGGTCATGCCGCTCTGCGATCGCGGCAACCTGCTCGACTACGTGCGGTCCGAGGGCGGCACGCGCGGACCGTCGTTGATCCTCGGCTCTGCGGACTCTGGTCGAGGCACGCCCAAGGCTTCGAGCTTGTCACGCAGCGCATCACTCAACACGCCGTTCGGCAACGCCAACGCCGAGACGGGCAAGTCGGTCGACAGCAGCCGCACCGGTTCCGGCTTCCTTTCTCGAGGCCATCGCCGCCTTGGCCTCGGCCGCGTCCCGTCAGCTTCCGGCGTACCAGCAAGCAACTTGCCGTGGAGCCTGAATGCTTCGCAGCTGCAGCTCTCAACGGCGTCGAACACGTCGTCGCCCAGTTCCGTGGTCGGCAGCCTGTCCAGCGGGTCCGGGCTGCTACGGCGCGCCAGTAGCCAGATGGCCCGGAGCCGCGGCGTCCCCATCGACGTGGCGCGCGAGACGATGCGACAGCTGGCATCTGCCCTGCGCACCTTGCACACACAAGCGGGCGTACTGCACAGCGACCTCAAGCTCGAGAATATCCTTGGCCAGAATCTGCGTACATCGCGCAGCGACGGCTCGATCAGGACGACTGCCGGCGCTGCCGGACCGCCAGTGTCTTCGAGCAGCTCGTCATTCTCCTCCGATGACGGCGGAGAACTCGAGGAGCAACTGCCATGCTGGAGACTCGCAGACTTTGGCTTGGCACGTCGGATAGTTTCAAACAGCACCGACGACGGTGCATTCTCTAGACTCCACCACCACGGCCAGACCCTGGGTCAGCCGCAGCAACCAGCCCAAAGCCGGGGCGGATCACTTGCCTACACTGCGCCAGAGTATCTCCGAGCCAAATCCTCCACGCCTTCTGGCGTCACGACGCCAGGCGGTCTCGAGGCTGACGCTGCGGCCCAGCAGGCTTCGACTTCACCCTTTGCCGCCGACATGTGGGCGCTCGGCTGCATCCTGTATGCGCTGCTGAGCGGTCGGCTGCCGTTTGCGGACTCGTTCGAACCTCGTCTGCAGATGAAGATTGCCAAGGCCCAGTGGGACATCCCGACGCGACTGCGGCGGAGGGCTGAGCGCCTCGCCGATGCCTCTCGGGGAGGCCTCCGCCATGCTCGTGAAGCGTCGGGAGGCAGTCAGATCGGGGCCGACCCGGGCGGTGCGATCGGCGAAAGACCCCTCTCCACGCTGATCGAGGGCCGGCACGTAGGACCATTCGGCAGACTGCGGGCCGCTGACGTGGACCTGAGCGCCTCATTACCCAGCCTTCCCTCGAGGGAGCGGCCAACTAGGAGGCTAATGAGCGCGTTCGAGCCGCCCATGGCCAGCTTTGCCGAGACCGGACGGACATCTGACCATGTCGTAGGATCGGCCCCCGGCCGGGCCGATCACGTCGATCGGATCGAGATCAACCCGTCGGCCAAGGCGCTTGCCGATGCCGAGGTTGATCCAGAGTCGGACGAGGATGACGGCGTCGAAGCCGAATGGGACGGACTCAGCTGGGACCGCGCCGCGGCAAGAGAGGTGCTTCACGGTCTGCTGGAACCGGATCCGTCGAAGCGCTGGACCATCGAGAGGCTGTGCGCCTCGGCATGGATCCGCGGCGACAATGACGACAGCGTCGGTGGCATCAGGACGACGGCCGGGGAAGCGGACAACATCCACCCAGTGGCCGACACTCACACCAAAAGGACAGGCCTCGCAGGGCAATCCATCTCCGAAAGGCCGTCGCAGGAAACGTTGGACGCATCGCTCGACTTCCGGAGGAGGAGCAGCTCGCAATCGCGCGATCGCGGCACGCTGGATCTGGACGTCGCCTCGACGCTCGCTAGGTCGCGGCCTGCCGACCTCTCGGCAGAGTCATCGGGACCAGTTTCGCCGGCGCTCCCGACGTCGCGTTCCGGCTTCGACGACAGCCACAGCAGCATCAGCTCCCGTCCGATGTCGCGCGATTCGTTCCGCGACCGCAGCGAATCGCGCACGCGTAGCACCGGCTTCAGCGAGAGCTCGACACCGAGTCGCGGAGAGGGTGGGGTCTGGCACGCGGCTCATCACGCGCTCGACGTCGCGCACTGGCCGTCGATTAGCCGCTGCGACAGTCCGGCCGACTCCGAGAGGCGTGGCCGGCAGTCGCGGTCGAGAATGGCAGACCTCGACGAGAACCAGACTTGGAGCGCCGACAAGGATCAGAGCGCGGCAGAGCGGTACAACGAGTGGCGTACCGGACGCGTGGCTATGCCTGTGCCCATCCCCGCACGCAGCCAGAGCCACTCGCGCAGCCGCAGCCGCCACAGCCGCGAATCGGGCTCGCCAGATCGCCTGTCGCGGCGATCGCACTCGAAGCCGCGGCCGCTGCTGCCGGGCTCTTACGATGCCAGCGGCTCGGGGGCGGGTTTTCTGCGCGGTCGGAGCTTCGAGACCCGTTCTGGCGCTGCGGCCGTGGGCGGGTCGGCGTTTGCCGACCAGACTCAGGCCCATCGATCGTCGACGTCGCGGAGCAGGTCGAGGGCGCCGGACGCGCTGGCGCAGATCCTGGGTCGCGACAGGGCCACCAGCCGTTCGCGAGGCACGCCGACAGACGACGGAGAGCGCTCGCTGCGCGCAACAGCTGGTTCGTCGAGCAGCAGCCTCAGCCTTGCCGCGAACGGCGGGCCCCCTGGCGCGCCGGCGGCAAGGGCGCACGAGCCTCGGGGTCGAGCCCGCGATCGAAAGTAGACCCGAGGACCAGAGACTGTGGTTCTAAACGGACGGAAGTGGATCCCCATCATGCAAGCCATCCAGGATCCGCACTAAAGCTACCGCACTCGTGCCGGTCCAGCCTGTCCTATTTTGACCTTCCTTTGCAGTACTCCGATAATGACGGTGTGCTGCCCCACCTCGCTCTGCAGCAGCAGAATCAATACCACTCACGCTCATAATAGCTGCCTGTCTCGCCTTGCTCCAGCCGCATGCAGGACGGGCGTGCATTGATGGCACGGTGAGAGGCGCGAAAGATCCAGACAGGTCGGTGGGGCGAAGCGAATGAGACAGAGAGCCTGTCAACATGGAACAGGATGACTGAGTGCGGATGTTGTACAAATGCCGAGGCAGAGAGAGGCAGAGGAACAAATCGAGGTCGAAGCTGGGGTCAAGCTGGAGTTGCAGAGGGACGCTGTTGGGGGTCGAAGAAGGTCGAGCGACGGTGCGCTGCACATCGAGTCGGAAAGCGTTGGTCGCGATGGGGTGTACGGGGCTGCGCCATGGGCGGGCGAGCGAGGATCGCGTTCTCGACGAGCAGAGATGTAGTCTAGTTAGCGCGGTTCTGGAGGTTCAGCCGGAGGCATTGCCAGATGTACCCGCCGCCGCTGCCGCTGCACTGCCGCTCCTACCCTTTCCGCCTCGTCCTGCAGTCGAAGCCCTGCCTCTCGATGCGCCGCCTCCTCTCCCACGTCCTCCGCCTCCACCGGCGGATCTACCGCCTCTTCCCCTTCCCCTCCCAGCTCTCGGTCCAGAGCCGCCACTTACTCCATCCTCTGCCCCATCTTGACCTACGCCTCCATCCGAAGCAGCGCCGCCGATAGCAGCGCCCCCACCGCTACCACCTTGCTGCGGGTCCATGGTGGAAAGTGCGCCTGCCTTTTCCGCCACCTCTTCGACGCCGCCCACTTTCCTCGCTTCCGTGACGATCCGGTCGGCGTAGAGGAGCTGCTCCAATCGACCCAACTTTTTGGCTTCGACGTCCTTGCGCAATGCGTGGCGAAAGTCTTCCAGCTTGACGCGTTGTCGGTGCGGCGCCCTCGGTGGCAGCGTTGCCGGGGCTGCCACTGTCGAAACTGCCCCAGCCGCTGCCGCTGCCGACGTCGCAGCAGCTCCGGCTCCGGCTCCTGCTGCTGCCGTTTGTGCAGAGTCGCCGACTTCGTGCGTCCACGCTGCGCTCCCGGCGGTGGAAGGATCGCCTTCCGCTCCTACCAGTCCCAATGACCCGGTATCGAAGGCACTACCAAAGGATGCGGTGCTGGTCGAGATGTTGCTGGTACCCAGGCCAAGTGCATACGGGCTTGGGCGGGCGCGCGCGCAAAGATCGGTGATGAAGTCGACCGTCATCTCTTCCAGCAGCGCAACTGACTCCGAGTCCGGGTTGGCTACGTCGCCGTAGGCATACATCAGGTTTCGAAGATCCTTGGCGAACAGGTTGCGGTGGTTGAACGGCTTACGGCCCCGAGCCGTCGCGGTCGGCGCCGTCGTTGCCGCCGAAGAGGAGGAATTTGCCGCGTCATTTTGCTGCAATGTCGATGCGGCGAGGGCAGGGTGGACGAAGGGAGTGTTGCGGCTCGGACCGCCCGTCGTACCCGCTCCCAAAGCGCTAAAGCCTGCCGCGCCACCGGCCGCTCCGCCCCGTCGTCCGCCACCAGGCTGATACGGATGCGGCGCCGGGTGCGCAGAGGAGCCCTGCCGAGATCGGTCCGGCCGCTGTGAGCCGCGGCCCGGGGTGGGCGCCATGGTTGACCGATCGGTCTGTCGATACGTCGAGCGCTATCTGTCGTCGTCTGACCGTTGCGCGAGAGCGGTAGAGGGGCCGGCGGGAGTCCTGAGAGCGGTGATGGAAGTTGGATGGAAAGCGCTCCACCCAGGTCCCGCTGGCTTCCTCCACACGCTGGACCCCGCCACGGCCGTGCAGGCTCTTGATATCGATCGGGACAAATTGCAACTACGCCGAAATCGGGCAACCTCATCAGGGGCTCTTTCTTCTTCTCTAGGCTGTCCTGCAACACACACTTTCCTTGGGGCCCTTCAAGTCTCTGAGGCCTGTGCAACACAGCAGTATCCAGCCCAGAGCACTGCGGCGACCGGGATGCCCTGAGCCAACACAAAGGCGATTTTCACAGGGCTCTTTCTACTTTTCCAGGTGGGCAGGGAGGATTCAGGGTTCCAGATTGCAGCTGATTGCACACCTGTTGCGTCCTTCTGGGGAAATCGCACAAGGGATCTGCAGCTGGATCTCCAGATCGCCGTACACATGCAATGTTTCTGGACCAGATCCTGCTGCTATGGAGAGCTATGAGGGCCAGCCAGAGGGCAGGAGGAGGGGGGCAAAGGTGGCCAGCATGCCAAAGCAAAGGCAAAGGTAGAAAACGCAAAGGGGGGACGGGGCAAAAGGGGAAAAGGGACAAGGGGCAAAAGGAAACTGCAGCATCTAGGATTGTCCCCCACTGCAGTACTCCTGTCGACACTTGAAACCGTACTTTTGACAGACATGTAGGAATGCTTTATGTTTTCATTCTAGTAGATAGGACATGCATAAAGTAACTTTGTCATAGACTTTTTGGCCGCAGGCAACTTGGAGGCCCAGATCTTGCGGCGCTCTGGCTTTCCCTACACAACGGTCAACAGCATCATTCAACTCTTCAAAGCAACGGGCCAGTTCGATGCCAAGCCGCATGGCGGTGCGCTTTGTCAGCCAGCGGTGCGCTGGGAGCACGTCGACTGCGCCATCAATCTCATCAACGACAATGCAACTGCAATGATGCGCGAGATCTTTGAGCACGTTCAGTCACGCTTCCCTGCGCTCTCTTGCAGTGAGCGGACGTTTGCCAGAGCGCTCAACAAGCAGTTGAGGATGACGCTCACAGCTAGCGGCAGGGATTCAGCTACAGTCCCAGGAGTCGCAGATCTCCTTTCATAGCCAGCAGCAGGATCTGGTCAAAAAAATCGCACGTGTATAACAATTTGAAAATCCAGCTGCAGCCAGCTTGTGCGGTTTCTCAAATCGCAGCAGGCGTGCGATCAGCTGCGATCTGAGATCCTGAATTTTTCCTGCCTGCAATCTGAGATCCACTCTGAGTGGTCAGGATTTCAAATGGCACTTGTATAAGAACTCTCAAATCCTGGATCGCACAGCCTGTGCGATAGGAAAAATCGGGAATTACTTTTGCTGCTAGCTATGTTTGTACCCCCAGGGCTGTACCCAGCCAGTCTACATCTTTGGCCTTTGGGCTGTAGGACCCCTACGCTCCGCAGGGCCGCAGGACCTCTACGCACAAAGGGCCGTAGGACTGCATCCCTCCCACACCGTAGGCACAACACGCACCCACACCTGTATCCTAGCTACAATATGATTGCAATATAAGGTACCTACAAGGGCAGCGGCAATGGCGTTAGAGCAAGGTGGCAGCAGGGCAGCAGCAGAGCGGCAGCAGAGCGGCAGCAGAGCAGCAGCAGAGCAGCAGCAGCAACAGCGGCAGCAGCGACAGCCGCAGAGCACTGTCAGCAGCAAAGTAAGGCGGTGAAGGAGGAGCAGGCAAAAGGATGAGGGGGAGCAAAGGAGTCAGCAATGGCGTGCAAGGGAGCGGTAGACAAGGAGCGGTGTTGGCAACTCACTTGTCACGATGGGGCTGTCAAGCAGAAGGGGAGAAGGCTGTCAATGTTCATCATGGCAGGGGCAGAAGGAGGTAGCAGCAGAGCGGAATCAGTGGCAAGGCGGCTGGGCTGGCAGCAAACTCACTGGCAGCTGCGCTTGGCTGGCCACTACGCTTGGCTGGCGGGCTGGCTGGCGGCTGGCTGGCTGGCGGGTACGCTGGGTGGGCGGCTGGCGGGCGGATGGCGGGCTGGCTTGGGTGGCGGCTGGCTGGCTGGCTGGCTGGCTTGGGTGATGGCTGGCTGGGTCAAGTGGCTGGCAGCTGGCTGGGCGAGTGGCGGGCGGCTGGCTGGCAGGTGGCGTCAGATGGTGGTGGTAGGAGGGCAGGAGAGACGGGCAGGCGGATGGATTTGGCAAAGGGCCAGGTGGGAAAGGGGCCAGCGTGCACGTGCCAAGCCTCCTGAGCTGATGTAAGCAGTGGCAGAGCAGCCCAAGAAGCGCAGGGACCCTTGGCCTGCCGTAGGTGGCCCTACGGCCAAAAATGCCGTAGCTGCTCCCCAGAAAATGGCTGTAGGTGGCCCTACAACCCCGATTTCTGGCCGTAGGTGGCCCTACAGCCATTTTTAGCGTAGATGGCCCCCAATTTCCCGATTTCAGGCCGTAGGTCAGCCTACGGCCAAAAACCACCTGCCCTTTGCCGCTAGCTATGAGTCTCCGATGATTGACGGCAGCAGCGGGGCAGAAGCAGCGGCAGAGCGGAAGCAACGGCAAAGCAGAAGCAGCGGCAAGGTGCAAGCAGCGGCAAGGCGGCTGCTAACGGCTGGCTGGCTGGCAGTCTTGCTGGCGGCTGGCGGCTAGCTGACTGGTGTTGGAACACCTTGCCGTCTCGCACAAAAAACGCAAAGGATAAACCGATTCGATCGAAAGGGACACTCTAGAGCACTGGACGCGCCTCCCGGGTCCGACTCCTGCAAGTCCTGACCCCAGCCGTCAGGTAAGGCAAGGGTAGTGGTAAGGAGCAGCTCCTACCCCTGATGCTACCCCTCACCAGTGGTCAATCCCCCTTCATTCCTACCCCTCCATTCCTACCCCTTAGATAGACACGTCTAGTCATCTAGAGAGCCTCGGTTCACAGTCAAGTCGAGCAACTCGACTGAAGAGACACAGCAGTACGGTCCCCTGTAGCTACAGGATCATGGTCGCTGCTCTAGAGGTCTATAGTGACCCGCAGCGCAAAGTTGTGGCGTATATATACAACCAGCTTCTGGTCGACAATGGGACCGCTTCTTTATTGGATCATACACACATCATCCCCTTCTATCGGTCCAGCTTACCCTCACACACTCTTCCACATATCTACGAGCGTCTACAGTTGCCTGCCTTGCGTCTCTGACAACTAGTCCGTTGGCCTACCCTCATAGCTAGCAGCAGAGTCAACCTACGATTTGTCAGATCGTAGCTAGGCGTAGCCAATCTACGATTTTCAGATCGTAGGACATCCTTCTACACAAACAATTTATAGATCCGGACAAGTTGTGCAGATTTTTTGGACGTACCCTGCCTACAATTTGTCAGATCGTAGCTAGAGCAGTCTATGTACAATTTCAGATCGTAGCTAGGATACGACTGAAATGCAGGCTACAATCAATTGGATCGCCTACTAGCTTTAGTTGAATAATTACTATCTACGCTACTAGAAGCTACGATACAATTGCAAATCGCGGACAGAAAGAGAGGTGGAGAGAGGTGGACAGAGGATGGAAGCAGATACCGAGGATCCTGTCAGCATCATCAACCAGTGGCAGCACCTGCGCCGGCAAGGAGGCACTCACAGCAAGGACAAGTCAGCATTGATGTGGTGGCGGTAGCGCATTGATGCAGGGCGTGGCGCAGTGCGGAGAGAGCGATTGATAGACCTGAGAAAAGGGAAAGGAGCAGGTGGTCAGCGTGCAGCGGCAGAGCGACGGCGGAAGAGCGCCGCGGAGATAATACTGACCAGGGCAAGTGCACTGCAGCGGTGGTGCTGGTGATGGCAGGTTCGCATTGTTGATGCGGTTGGGGTGTGCTGCCGGATGGGTGAGGATGAGAAGGTGAGCGTCGAGAGCATTGAGGTGTCAGCGTTGATGCTGTCCGGTGGTGGCAGCACGCCGAAGATTGATGCTCTCACCTAAGAGGCGTCGGCAGGTGGCAGCTGCTGTGTGACGCTGGATCGATTGATCTTGACCGGTGTGCTTTGGCAGGGCATCATGTGGGCGATGGCCGCGATTTGGCGTCGGTCGTGGCGGCAAGTTGGCGTCAATGGTGGCAGAAAGTTGGCGTCAATGGTGGCGGCAGCGAGTCAGCGTCGGTCGTGGTGGCAAGTCAGCGTTGGTGGTGGCGTCAATGTCAGCGTTGGTGGTGGCGTCAAGTTGGCCTTGGTGGCATCGATGTTGAGGCTATTCAGGCGGTGCAGGACTGAGCACAATTGAGGCAGGCCAAGGCGGCTGGGGTGGATGCCGGCAGCTGGTGGCCTTGACAGCGGTTGGGTGGCGGCAGCAGGCAAAGGAGCGATGGTGGGCGAAGGTCGATGGCAGGCAAAGGGCCAATGGTAGTGATAGCTAGGGGCAGGCTTTGGGCTACGATTTCAGATATCGTAGATCTCGTACAATATGGCAGTGCTGTAGGAGATCGTTAATCCCCTACGGCACTGGGATGCCGTAGGCCACCCACAGCATTTTTGGCCGTAGGCATCCTACAGCCTGCTTATCGTAGGCCCTCCCTCGCAGGCACTGCCATATGTAGTCTACAGGCATTGTATTCATGATCGCAAAATCTAGCTACACTGATGTGCGGCGGCACAGCGACAGCATTGGTGGATGGCAGGGCAAGGAGGCAGGAAGGCAGGTGGTTGCATGCGGCAACAGGGCGGCAGCAGCAGTGGCAACAGAGCGTCAGCAGCAAAGCAAGGGGATAAGGGAGGAGCAGGCAAGTAGAGGGGAGCAAAGGAGTCAGCAACGCGCAGCAGAGCGGCAGAAGAAGAGCGGCAACAGTCGACTCACATGAGGTGGAGCAGAAGCAAAGCTGTCAATGGTCAGAATCATTGGAGACTTCGGAGAGGGCCTCTCCGAAGTTTCCGGTGATTGACGGCGTCAGCTGGCGGAAGCAAGCAGTGCGGAGCAGCAGCGGCTCGCAGCTCACCAGGTGGCTGGCTGGGCCTCCCTATTGGAACACCTGTTAGGGTGCGTGCAAGTTGGAACCGACGACAAACAACAAGTCTAGTTGTCTGGAACACCGAAGGACAGTATGGAGTCAATCGTAGGAGTCAAGTTGTTATTCCTGGACTCGGAACGGCTTCGGGGCCAGGTCGAGGGTAGACCAACGGACTAGTTGTCGAAGACGCAAGGCAGGCAACTGTAGTCGCTCGTAGAGATGTGGAAGAGTGTGTGAGGGTAAGCTGGACCGATAGAAGGGGATTAAGTGTGTAAGATTTGATGATGAAGAAGCGGTCCCATCGTCGACCAGAAGCTGGTCGTATATATACGCTACAACTTTGCGCTGCGGCTTACTATAGACCTCTGGAGCAGCAACCATGATCCTGTAGCTACGGGGGACCGTACCGCTCCGTCTCTTTGGTCAAGTTGCTCGACTCGACCGTGAACCGCGGCTCTCTAGATGACTAGACGTATCTATCTAAAGGGTTAGGAATGGAGGGGTAGGAATGAAGGGGGATTGACCGTCGGTGAGGGGTAGCATCAGGGGTAGGAGCTGCTCCTTACCGCTACCCTTGCCTTACCTGACGGCTCGGGTCGGGACTCGTAGGAACCGGGCCCAAGGGGCGCGTCCAGTGCTCTAGAGTGTCCCTTCTGATCGAATCGGTTTATCCTTTGCGAATTTCGTGCGAGACGGCGAGGTGTTCCAACACTCCCTGAGTCTCGCTGGCGGCTCTGGCGGCTGCGCTTGGCTGGCGGCTGCGCTCGGCTGGCGGCTGGCAGGGCTGGCGGCGGGCTGGCTGGGCCTCGCTGGCGGCTGGCGGCTTGCTG